GAGCCCCATGCTAAGTCCAGATTGGAGGAAGTGGCTGACACTGACCTTGGCTCTGTCCGGGATGAGAAGTGGGTCTGCAAATCATGCCCTGAGCTCCTTTTCCCAGCCAATCACGTGCAGGGTCCTCCCACCAGAGAGCCTCAGTCGGGGTGGGGATGGGGTCAGTAGCCAGGACTGCACCAGGGGCCTGGCCCACTGCGGAAGGACAGCAGATGGGGCAGGCCAGGGGGAGCCAGGAGCCTGAGGCCAAGCACTGCCCCTCATACCCCGCTACAATCGGCCCCCTCCCACTTCTAGAATGTCACATACGTGTAATCAGACAGCATGTTGTTTTTTCTGATGGTTTTTTTTTCACTCTGAATGACGCTTTCAAGATTCCTCCGTGTTGTGGCATGTACCACCTCTTCATTCTTTTTTGGCTGAGTCGCCTTGGCCAGTCAATGGGCATCTGAGTTGTTTCTAGTTTTTGGCTATTATGAGTAAAACTTCTAGGAACATTCAAATGCTGCTTCTCTGCAGACATACATTTTCACTTCTTTTAGGTAAATACCCAGGAGTGGAACTTCTAGATTGTGTGGTAGGTGTCTGGTTAGCTTTATAAGAAAGAGCCAAACTTTTCTGCAAGGTGGTGGTACCAGTTTATACCGCCACCAGCAGCGTGAGAGCTCTAGTTGCTCCATGTGCCCATCAACGCTCCGTATTGTTTCCGACTCTGCTCTCTTACCCATTGTGTTCTGATGCCAGGGTATTCTCTAAAAAATTTTGGTTTCAATTTTCTGAAAAAAATTCCAATAAACACATTGTTTTTCCTCTGAATAGGCTCTCATATAAAATGATCACTTTATTTCATTTTTTTCTCTGAATAGATCCTCATGCAAAACAATATGTCCCTAGTAATTAAGGTCTCCCTCCTCCTAAAGAACTCAGTGTATTACAAAGGGCCAGTAGACTATGAAAAAATGCTCAGTATTGCTACTTATCAGAGAAATGCAAATCAAAACTACAATGAAATATCACCTCACACCAGTCAGAATGGCCATCATTAGAAGTCCACAAACAATAAATGCTGGAGAGGGTGTGGGAAAAAGGAACCCTCCCACACTGCTGGTGAGAACATAGTTTGGTGCAGCCATTATGGAAAACAGTATGGAGATTCCTCAAAAGACTAAAAATAATTACTATATGATCCAGCAATCCCGCACCTGGGCATATATCCGGAGGGAACTATAATTCGAAAAGATACATGCACCACAGTGTTCATAGCAGCACTATTTACAACAGCCAAGACATGGAAACAACCTAAATGTCCATTGACAGATGACTGGATAAAGAAGATGAGGTATATTTATACAATGGAACACTACTCAGCCATAAAAAGAATAAAATAATGCCATTTACAGCAACATGGATGGACCTGGAGATCGTCATTCTGAAAGTGATATAAGCCAGAAAGAGAAAGAAAAATACCATATGATAGAACTCATATGTGAAATCTAAAAAAAAAGACAAATTAATTTGTTTACAAAACAGAAACAAACTCACAGACATAGAAAACAAACATATGGTTACCAGGGGAAAAAGAGGGTGAGAAGGGATAAATTGAGAGTTCGAGATTTGCAGATACTAACTACTATATATAAAATAGATAAACAACAAGTTTCTTCTGTACAGCACAGAGAGCTATATTCAATCTTGTAGTAACCTTCAATGAAGAAGAATATGAAAATGAATATATGTATGTACATGTATGACTGAAACATTATGCGTGTACACCAGAAATAGACACAACATTGTAAACTGACTATACTTCAATTTAAAAAATAATAAATGTTAGAAGTAAAAAAAACCCCAACTCAATATAAAATTAACAACAGAGATCCAACCACAGGGTGCCAGCAGGGGGCGCGCGTCTCCCGCACTTAGACTCCGTTCCTAGTCTTCATTCAGACTTTGAGGGACGCTTTGAGCTGTCCCTCAGCAGAACAGGGGAGGAGGTGAAGTTGATCTTTAGGGCCAGAGATGCCTTCCCCTGGTAGGGACTTGGTGGCTTCAAGAAACAAAGCTGCCTCAGGCTCTGGGGAGGGATGTGAGTGCTGACCGCTGCTCAGACGTCCTGCATCACCTGGGAGCTTTGAAAACTCCCGCTGCCCTGGCTTCACCCCAGACTGAGTGAATCAGGATCTCTGGGGGAACCCAGGCATCAGCATTTAAAACCTCTCCAGGCGACCCCAGTATGCAGCCAGGGCTGTGCACCCCTGAGATGGAAGATTGTTAAGCCACCCCCGTAGCCCAGGTGAGCTGAACAAGTGAGTGAGTTCACTATGGCTCCACATCTCAGCACATATAAAACCCCTGGGAGGAGAGGGTGTCGTTGAAATTTAGATTCCCGGCTTCACCGTCAGAGATTTTGATTCAGTGGTGGGGGGAAAGGGACCAGAAATTGGCATTTTGTTGAGTTCTTCCGCAGAGTCTAATCCGTGTGGTTCTGGAATCCCACTTGAGGAAACATTGACCTTGACAGAGAGCATCTGGGAGGGTAGGAGACCCGGAACAGAGAAGCGGAGGTGGTGCCTGGGTGTCCTGGGTGCTGGGACTAAGGGAGCAGCTCGGGACAGAGAGGTGATGAGACACGGAGGTGAACAGGGAGGAGCTGGTGAAAGTCTTGTGGCTGCTGCAGACCAGCCCCCTCCTCCTCTCCAAATCCCACTTCAGGCTGTGGGCCCAGGCATGGCAGGTGGATGCTCTCCTGCCCTCCTCTTTGTCCCCAGTGGTCTGGGGACAGAGCTCCCTGTCTGGTCTGGGTTTTGCAGCAGAGCCTAGAGCTGGCCCATCGTGGTGACCACTAGATGGTGATCTGTCATGGTTCCTCCACTGTCCACCTGCACCTGCCTTTCGGTGTCCTAGAATGTCCCAGCTACCTGC